TTCCTTCCTTCCTTCCTTCCTTCCTTCCTTCCTTCCTTCCTTCCTTCCATCCTTCCATCCTTCCATCCTTCCATCCATGTATTAGGAAGGTACCTGGGGCACTGTACATTCTCGGCAAACATTCCCACTGAGCTACATCCCCAGCCCATTTTGAGGCAAGTCTCCTTATTAAGTTGCCCAGGCTGCCTTTGAACCTAACTGTGGCCCAGGCAGGCCTTGAACCCACATACTCTCTACCAAGTAACAGATTACAGAACCTCAAGAGAGATCCTTAAACCAGACTTTACTAAGATATTCTCTCAGAATGTCAGACTCACGCCTCAAAGCTACTGATAGCACTGAGGGAAATGAGCATCCGACAAAGCAAAGCTAAAGGAGTGTTCTGGACTTCTCGGGGGTCAGCGAGGGGCTGCTGATGTTCCCGTGGGGCTCCGCAGGTACCATACAGTTCCCAGATGTCTCTGTGGCATGTGTCTATGTGTCTTGAGAGTTAGGAGGAGACCTCAAAGCATGTGTGCCTTCCAGGCTGTGCTTTTGGGTCTACCCATTGCTGACCTGTGTGTGGACACATGGCTTCATTTCCTTGGGTCTTGTTCACATTTCCAAGGGCCCAAACTCCTACCAGCAGGAAGTTTACAGACTGAAAATAGCTGAACTGTGCCTCTCTAGGGGCTGGATCTGAGGACACTATCAATGATGGCCTCTGAGTCCTCTGCTAGGTCAGGTCCTTCCATCTTCCCCCGTACTCATCTTGCCTGTTTGTTTTCAGAACTTGACTACAGAAACTCCTACGAAATTGAATACATGGAAAAGCTTGGCTCCTCCTTACCTGTGAGTTCCTCCTATACACTGGCCTGGCAGGGGCTTCTGTGGGGTCTCCAGCAAGGCTGCACAGGGTCCCTCAGAGTTGCCCCATCACATAGAGATGCCAGTCCTCATTCCTAGGCTCATTGCTTCAGGCCTTGGAACACTAATATGCCCACCTTACCGGTAACTCCTGACTTCCCTTTTAGCCACACTTTGTACAATCAGTGCCCAAAGCCACCTGAGCTCTCTTACAGGCCTTGACCATGGATGGATTCCCTGGGTTCTGAGCTGCAGCCCTGGTTATGGTGTCTGCTTATGGCCCTCCTGCCCAGCCAAGGAGAAAAGAAGCCGTTTGTCATTTCTGTCTCTTTCTTTGGGATCTGTCTTAGTTACTTTTCTGTCACTGTGGTAAAACACTATGACCAAGGGAACCTATAAAAGAGTTAATTTGGGCTTATGTTCCAAGAGGCTCAGAGCCCATGACAGCAGATCAGAGGCACATGGTAAACCATAAGCAAGAAGCAGTCTTTAAACTTTCAGAACCCACCTCCGATAACATACCTTCCTCCAGCAAGGCCCCCTAAATCTCCCAAACACTACTGTTTGAGGGCCAGGTATTCAAATGCCCAAGACTGGGGACATCTCATTTAAACCTCCACAGGCCCTAGTGACCATGGTCATCACTGGGGTCAGCACACTACCGTCTGATATTCCAGTGTGAGGAACTGAGAGCTTAGCTGGCTGGCTCTGCAGCCTCAGCACCGGCATTTGCCATTGTGGCCCATGCACACTGAGGCCTGAGCAGGGTCCATGGCAGCACCATCCTAGCTGGTTAGTCCAAGCTTAGGTCTCCACAGCCCTTCTCTCCCACCTCCCACCTCCCTGGCCCTCTCCTAGTCACCTCCTGCTTTTTCCTCCTTTGAGAACTTGAGAAGACTGAAGGCTTACTTGTTCCCAGTGCTTACTTGTGGACCAGTGCTTCCTTCACTTGGGTGGCATGTTCAGGCCACTGCACCCAGCTAATGTATGTGTGACTTTGATTCCTGCAGCAGGACGATGATGCTCCGAAGAAGCAGGCCTTGTACCTTATGTTTGACACTCCTCAGGAGAGCCCCATCAAGTCTCCTCCAGTCCGGATGTCGGAATCTCCAACTCCATGTTCAGGGTATGACCTATACATGAGAGAGTTGTGCCAGTGCCCCCCAAGTTCTTGTATACCTTTCCACTGTTACTCTGACCTCATTCCATTGAATGTCTACAGGTAGCCCATAATTTAGTCTGTCCACAATGGCACAGACACATCGCTTCTATACCCCAGGGCCCTTTGAATGAAGTTGAAACGACTGGCGGTACCCTGTGGCAAACAAACAGATAAAGACAGACAGATAGACAGACAGACACACACACACACACACAGATACACACACACACACAGACAGACATTATACTCAGCTTTATTTTGTCATCTGTCCAGTGGGGGCAGTGTGGTATAATACTAAGAGCTTAAGTCCCAGTTCTGGTGGGGGTTACTTGGGTGTCTTGGTACCTCAGTTTCCCCATGTGTAAAGTGAGAGAAGTAAAGTGACTCTGGGGATTTAGAGAGATTAAAGGAGACCGTTAGTCCCCCGAGCAGTCAAGCGATGGACACAGGGAACCTGGTTTCTAGGAGATGATGTATAGAAAGCCATGTCGGAGTGCCTGGCACATGGAAAGTGCACAGCAGATATTGCATGTGCCAGGGTCCATGTTCTGAATGGTGTAGTTTTTGACGGGGGAAGTATGAAGCATTGCTGTATCGTCTGGGTGGTCCCATCTATGACCAGATGCCTGCTTTGTCCCTGAGCTGGATGGGAAGCTCTTACTTTGGTTTCTGAGACTTACTGTGGACCCTGCAGACTAAAATCTGTCCAGATGGTTAGGTGTTGGTGATGAGTGATGTCACCTCCAGGAGTGGTCCCATATGGTAACGAGTGATGTCACCTCCAGGAGTGGTCCCATATGGTGATGAGTGATGTCACCTCCAGGAGTGGTCCCATATGGTGATGAGTGATGTCACCTCCAGGAGTGGTCCCATATGGCAGGCACTGTGTTGAGTGCTTTGCATTTGCAAACCATCTTACTTCATCTGCTCAAAGGTGCATGTACCTATCTTCAAAAAAAGGAAAGTGGGTGTGATACACAGTCTTCCCTCAGAGTATACAAGCAAGCAACTGGCTACTCCCTAAACTCCAGGGCTTGGTCTTCTTGACAGAGCATCTGTATTCTGTGTCTCTCTTGTCCATTATCCCTTAAACGTGGCTGCACTAAGGCTTGCCTCTAGATGGATGGCCATTGAAGACATGGCTTTTGTCTCTCTTTGGACACAGACTTGCAAGTCCTGGTTTTTGTGGGCTATTTCTTTAGCTGGGGCTTTCTAATAGACTTCAGTGGTCTCCAAGGAGAAGACCCTGATGTTTGACTTTGTTTCCTCAGGTCAAGTTTTGAGGACACTGAAGCCCTCGTGAATGCAGCAACAAAGCTCCAGCATCCTGTTCCAAGAGGTCTGGCCTCCAATCAGGAGCCTCTCTTGCAGGTGCCGGAGAAATCCTCCCAGAAGGAGCTGGAGGCCATGGCCTTGGGCACCCCTGCAGAAGCAATTGAAATTGTAAGTGTTGTCTGAGGGGTTCAGTGGCTGCACCCTCTCCTGTGGTCGCTCTTCACCAGGCCCCCTGGACCACAGCCTGGAGAACCCACGTCTCACCGTGCCTTTCATTTCTCCTGAGATGGCTACAGTTCTGTCAAGTGCTTTATTTGTTAAGGCTTGGTTTCCATTTTTCTCTCCTTGAAACTGGATTGGTGGGCAAGCTGGAGCTGGGATCAGCCAGCTCCTGCTTCTATAGCCTGTAAAACAAAGTAAAGAAGGGGAGAAGGAGGAATGTCCTCCTTAGAGGGATCAGATGTATTTCTCCTGGGTCTCAGGGTAGGAGATTTTCTCTTGTTCATGGACCAGGATGTCAAGGTTTCCTCTCCCTAGCTCTCCTGAAACCTTACAGGATCCACAGCCCTGAGCTGTGATGTCATTGTTCCCTGCATGTCACATGTGCTTTCCCTAGAGTGTGTGGTATCCACAGGAGGGTCTTCCACATGTCTTACACAAACCAACTTGGGTCAATTATATTTTTCCTTCTTTTGTCCCACTCCTAGGTTTGAGATATCGATTTAGTGTGTTGCTTTTGTTCTATGTTAGGCAATTTGATCTGTCTCATGCTACAGACATTTGCAGGGCACTTGCTATGTATGTGACAGTTGGACGCTGGGTTGGATACGGGAAACACAATAAGTGAATGATAAAAGAGTCTAGATGTGAACCGATCTGGCATATAAATACTGTGGCAGAAATAGCCATGGTTCATCTCTGGCAAAGTTGCCCTCTGATTTGTAAGTCTTTCTAATCTATTAGGAGATACCTTTCTGTTTGAAATCATCTTTTCACTATTGAAAGCGGCCCTTCCTTAAACCTTACTTTCCTTGATACTTAACCCTGGGTATTGTTTCTTTGATGAACTATGTTGGCATTTTGAAAACCCATTAACTAGCTTTGCCTCCCACCCATGGAGATTTTCAAATAAAAAGCAGTGGTTATGTGGCTCCCTCTGCACTGGGAACAAGGGTGCTTGGGCTGTGGGGGTGGGGAGGCTGAGGGTCGAGGCCCTGCTCTTGGGAGAGGGGGCTGGGCCTGCTAGTCACGGTCCAGATGGCAGTATTAGCCACTAATTGATGCTCTCTTTAGCCTTAATGCAGCACTGTGCAGTGTATGGATGAGTGGTCCTTGCTTGAAATCAATATCTTTCTACTCTCCTCTATTTTCCATCTTCCTCTCTGCCGCCGGCCTTCAGACAGCTCCAGAGGGTGCCTTTGCCTCTGCAGATGCCCTCCTCAGCAGGCTGGCCCATCCTGCCTCTCTCTGTGGTGCACTTGGCTATCTGGAGCCTGACTTAGCAGAAAAGAACCCCCCAGTATTTGCCCAGAAACTTCAGGTTTGTAGCCCACATGTGACCTTTTTGGAGTTTGTTAAAACCTCAGTAGAAAATGAAACCCTGAGCCAAATTGAGCCGAGGCAGGACCTAATGAGGCAATACTGGGAATGTTCCAGATGAAGTCTTTTCCTCTCAGACACTGATATATGTGTGTGCTATATTCAGGACGTCAGAATTATAAAAATTGTGTGATTACATACTGAATGGACTGTTTCTATTTCTATTGGGAAGTTGGTCCCAATAGTCATTTTCCAGATGTATTGAATGCCCCAGAGACAGTGTTTATTTGTGATTTATTCACTAAAGCAGAGGTATCAGGTCAAGCCAAGCTGTTTAAAGTACATAAGACAATCCCAGATTCCCATTGAGATAACATCTGGACTCAGTTTTACACCTGGAACAGAGTAGTTATCTCCACAGTAGAAATCTGACCATTCACATTACCATGCCCTGGACCAGGAAGTGAGGCAGACCTAGAGAGACTGTTAACAGGCAGCTGAGAGATGCATGGCCATTTACGGCAAGTGCTGGCCAGCTTTTTAAAAACAAACAAACAAAAAAAAAAAGGAAAGACATCAAGGAATACAGTAGAGTAAAAAATTGCCGTCCTGTTTTGAAAATTAGCTCACATTTGACTGCGTGATATTTCTTGACAGACCTTCAAAGGGGTGATTTTTTTTTTCTCAAAAAGGAATTTAAACCCCAGTTTCATGATCTGCTGAGGTGTTGGTTGTGAGAGAAAGCTGAGTGTGTGTTTTTCCACAAGTACCTGTCATGCTTTTGTGTGGCACATTCATTCCTGGATGTGGAGAACCTTCTGTCTGTCTTGATCCATTTCCCTACGGTTTGCTCACCCCTACCCCTCGGGCAGGAGGAGTTAGAGTTTGCTGTCATGCGGATAGAAGCCCTGAAGCTGGCCAGGCAGATCGCCCTGGCTTCCCGCAGCCGCCAGGACTCCAAGGTACCTGTTTGCCACTGCAGTGCGCTGCCTTCTGGGAATGCTGTGTGTGCCACGGGGTTCCAAGGGCTGCTTTGCTAACCACTGGCCAGGCGGGCATTGTGGGCGTCCTATGAAGTGTGATTTCTCTGAAGCTGAAAGTGTGACTCTTACACAAACACACACTGAGCGCATGTGTGGGGATGAGGTGGTGTGGCCAAGCATAGGAGAGTGAGAGAAGCTAGCATATAGCGCAGGAGATTAAAAGGCTTTGAATAAGGTGGTAGACCAGTAAAGCTGGTTAGTACTGGTACACCAGGACAAAAGAAGAATCCTCCTTGGGATTATCTTCCTTTCCTACAGATACCCTTTGCCTCTCGATGGGACAAAGTAATTTGTAACTTTTCTGTTTTCTAGAAGATTCCATCCAGCTTTACTAAGAGTCAGTAATAAGTAGGAATTGAAAACAAGACTTGCTACAAGACATTGGATGATGAGCTAGACAAGAATGAAGAGTCTCAGGTTGTAGGCTATATCATCTCTGTCACTGTGGTCTCTTTTGTCACTGTGTTGGCAATACAGACTGAGCAACAGGCAGAGAAGTGCTTTATTCCAGGAAAATGCCCGGCCCCCCCCCCAACAGAAGGGGTAACAGACCATTTGCTTCACAGACCAGAGTGTGTCTGTCCTTGATTTTTGAGTGACATATGACATTGATAGGACATTCAGAGTCTTCCCACCTGGCTTTTAGGCTTGGGACTGATTCCTAACTGTGTGACCTGTGATGACATGTAGCTGGTACCTCACCCTCTTGCCGCCAGTGAGCTGTGGCTCCAGTTCCACTGTCTGCCCCACTCTGTGTTTGGCCAGCCTAATGAACTGTCTATCAGACCAGGGCTGGAGCCCCCCACTTTGTTTTAGCCTTGAATGACTTAGAAAACCTTGCTGAGCCTCAGTTTTTCGGTCTCTGAGACGAGACCAATCAGAGTAAGTTTGCCTGTGGAGGTGAAGACCACACTTGCAGCTTGCTTTGTGCAAGCACGCCTGATGTACACTGGTGTGCAGTGAGCAAAAGCCGCGGCTATTAGCTAGCTAGTACAATAAGATGTTCACAGCATCTCTCCTGGTAAAGCAGAGCTGAGTCCACTTTACAGATTGGGAAACAAGGGCCACATATCCAGAGTTCACCGACCTGTGGGGAACCAACCACTAGAACTGGGGTCACCAGTAGCCCTGCCTGTCCATCCCCACCTCACATTGTAGGTCATTTGCAGAGAAGTTCCCAGCTTATGGTCTAGGAACAGAAATCCTACCTCTGTTCTGTCCCAAGGGCCCACACACAGGATCTCCCTAGCTATATCCCAAATCGAGTCCCTTCCTGAAGACAGGAAGTGGGTATAATGTGGGTGTCCAGACTGAGAACAGTGGCACACAGGGCAGGGATAAAAATGCAAACAGAAATCAGGGATGTCTTTGTTCTTGTTGCCAAAGTGTAAATATGAGTTGAATTGCCATGAAAGGGGATTTTCAGGAGAGGATTGGGCTCCTCTCCCATCCTCACAACTCACCCCCGCCAGATTTCTTTCTTGAATGTTTGCAGAAGAATTGCCCAAAGCTTGAGCATTGTATGTACAATGTCTTCCTGTCTTGGAGAATATTGAAGTCAAGTTGGGCACATTCTGACAAGTTCAGGCTTAGTACAAGGCATCCTGGGAAGCGGGAGGTGGGGAGTTACTGTCTCCTTCTAAGAATTTGCCAGAGTTGTCATCCTATCTGTGGCAGCCTCAGAACATGTGTTCTAGTTTTTATTTAGATAGCAGTGCCACACAGACGCACAGAGTATAAGCTACGAGAAAGCCCTAGTCACCTTCTAATGGGCTTGGATGTGTGCACTGAGGGATAGTCTGTCCAGGAAGAGCCCCAGCCCCACCCCCTCCCCCGCAGGGTGGGAGGAACGTTGACTATAGTTGCTTGTGTCGCTTTTGGAAAATACCTGGTAACCATGGTGCACAGAAAGAAAATAGATGTTCCTGCTATAACCAGCCCACTCCTGGGGGATCTGTTGGCCTCACTATAGGGATCCCCCTTGTGGGCTTCTCTCCTGTGTCTGTGCTTGGTACCCCCTCTCTGCCTCAGAACTGGAGGAGGGTTGTACAGAGCACAGTGGCTGTGGGCCAGGTTTCCCTTTCTGCCCTGGGATCTCAGACGAGAGTGATGGGTGATGTGACCCCGTTTTCCTGGCAGCAACACAAAAACATGGAATCACTTAGGAGGAAGGATGTAATTTTAAGGGGATGAAAAATCAGCCGATCCCTAGAGCAGCTCTGGAGTGGGTCAGCCTCCACAGAAGTGCAGTGAGCAGCTCTGCACCCCCCACCCCCACCCCGGGCTGTGGCCTTCTTATTCCATTTCCCCTACTTGCTTCTGCTGGTGCTGAGTTCTGTGTGTCGCCAGGGAGTGAGCCTGAGGATTTGTTCTGAATGCACATCATCCCTGAATACACACCTCAGTGCAGCAGCCTGTATTCCATACTCAGAGCTCGATCTCTGACCTCCCAAGGTATGGGTAGCAGGGTATGTATGCCGGCACATTCTGCATGCATGACAACTTGGTTTTGATCCCTGGACTTGTTGGCCTTTGTTGACAAGGGGGACTCATGATGAAGATGGAAAGATGTGTTCTGCCAACTTAGGATCCTGACTACACAAATAGGAAGCTTCTGCTTGGGAGCAGTTCGCAGACAGAGGGGAATCTTGTGTGTAATTACAGAGAGAGAGAGACAGGGAGAGAGAAAGAGAGAGAGAGACAGAGACAGAGAGAGACAGAGAGACCTGGCCTAGAGTTGTCCTGAGCTGGAGCAAGAATAGGGTCAGGGGCAGAGTGTGTATATGTATGCTTGTCAAGCGACACAGCATCATGACAGGGATGGTGTTTATTAAATGACAAGAAGCCAGCATCGTTCCTGTTGGGCTTCTTCTAAGCCTCTACAGCCGTAACTCCTTTCCTCCACATTTGATGCTGAGTCCACAGTTGAGACACATCCCTGGAAGCCACAACAACAGTCTGAAGAAGAGTGACAGAGGACTGGTTGGTGGGCTTGTTTGCTCTCTGGCTTCAGAATCTGCAGTTGGAGCCTGTATTTTCCAGACTGGGAGACTGAGTCTTGATGGGGGTGGGCACAGCTGCTCGATGTCTGATACTGATGCCTTCCTTGGAGTAGGACTGAAGTGTGGGGCCAGGTGCCTCACCTGTGCTTTATAATTCCTGGGTTTGGGGACTGTCTGCTTTGGATGTGTAGCATCTGGCCAAGGTCCTTCTGCCTGGATGCTGCCACATGGCCCAGATACTTTGCAAGGCTCTGAGCCTTAGCTTGGTTTTCCTGGTCCCTGGCCTCACTTATGTGGCCTTCTCTTAGGGCTCTAAGCCTCAGATCTGAGTTTGCCTCTGACTGATCTGGGGGACAGTGATCTTGCCTTGACCATGATATCCTTCCCCCATCCCCCAAGGCCTAGCCATAAGGAGAAGTGTGGGACTGAGTGCATGACACGACTCCTGCTGTCAAGGTCAGCTCAGGAATCTGAGGGGAGATAGTGGCCTGAGGAACCTCACAGTTTCCAGCCTGTAAAAACCCGTAGAGGGTTGAAGGTGGCAGCAAAGGTCTGTGCCTTTGGAATTGGGGCCATTTCACATTTTAGTAAATAGGATTCTGGTGGCCTCTTGGCCTGTGTGAAGCAGCAAGACTACGATTGCAATTGTGGGTTTAAAAATAATCTTAACATATGAAAGAGAGGGGCAGGGAGGGAGGGAGAGAGAGGGAGGGAGGGAGAGAGAGGGAGGGAGGGAGGGAAGGAAGCAGAGGTGGAACCTTTTGATTTCACTTGAAAACATTCATGGCTGAAAGGAAAAGCCTAGGTATGAATTCTGAAGTTCATTATCCTGCAAGCAGCTGTAGGAAGCAGGGAATCGAGGTGGTCCTGGAGCTGTTTGTTCTGTGATTGAAAATGCCAGGCTGGTGATGAAGGATATTACCGTGGGGTCTGACTCCTTTGCATCCGTTTAGAGATCTCTTTATTATTCATCCTATCCTTGTTTTACAAAGGACATCAGGCAGATTAATAATTTCTGATGTGCTCCTTGGTCATATTTAGCTCCTGCCCTGTACTGATAAGAAGTTCATTTTCATTATTCTTTCTCTCTTGCTCTGCAAGGAGCTACTAATCTACTTTGAGGCCGAATTCAATCTCATTTTGAAAAACTTAGATCCAGCCATTCTTCAGAAGTTCCAGACCGAGTTTAGCAGTTCTAAAATTCTGCTCATTTTGGAATTTTATTTTTTCTCAAACTTCTAAAAGTGTACATTCCCTGTATGGTTGTTTTATCTGAATGCATATATCTGTGCGGTGTATGTGATATATCTGTGCAGTGTGTGTGTCTGGTGCCCACGGAGACCAGAAGACGGTGTCAGATCCCCCGGGCCCAGAGTGATAAAGTGAGCCAATATAGGTGCTGGGAATTGAACCTGAGTCCTCTGGAAGAACAGCCAGTGCTCTTAACCACTGAGCTATCTCCTCAGCTGCCCCACCCCCCTTTTAAGGAGCACATTCAAAGTAAAAAGAATTGGTGTGTTTGGTCTGTCTTTTCAAGTTCGCTTCCTAATTTTGTGTTTGTGAGCTTTTCTAACTACAACCATTAAATGGTGATTTCCAGGTATAATTTTCCTATTGCTACTGAGATGTTTTCCCTCAGAGGAGTAGCACTACAAACCATTGCCAAGAGCAAAGCTAAGCCCTCCATGCAGAGCCTCTGCCCTGCCACCCGGAGGTGCTTTTCCTCCTGAGGGATCTGGCAGCCTGCTGCCAGGGGCTGGTAGCTTACATTCTAGGCAGATGTCCTGGAAACAGAGACTTCCCCAGGACCAGAAGCTGAGAAAGACATTCATGGCATACCATCTGACATGTGACTAGAGTCCATGCCCTGGTTAACCAGATCTTTGTGCTTCTGGCTCTGAAGGTAGTTCACTGAAGGTGAGCCCAGGGATTTCAGGGCAGCCTTGGGCAGTGAGATTTAGGTGATCTGTGGGGTACCATTTGAGGTTAGGTAGTGGCCAGTGAGCTGGGGGATAGTCAGGCTCAGTGAGTTGGGGATAGGCAGACCCAGTGAGTTGGGGTGACATATAGGTATCACTTGAGGGTTAGCTCCAGGTCTCAAGGGCAGGCAGGGACAATGAGATACAGGTCACAGCAGTTTTCTAGGACAACTAAACTGTTGTGTGCACCCTGCATGTGAACACTAATGGTTCATAAATGGTCACCTCCAGTCCTATCCATTGCTCTTGTACCTGCATGTTCTAAGTGCTTCCCTTCTTTAGGCCCTTAGCACCGAATTCTATAGTGAGGTGAGGTGAGGTAAGATAAGGCTGGCTAGTCCAACATTCTGCCCCAGGGCCTTAAGCCACACCCTTTCCCAGGCCACTGGTTCCCCAAGGATGGAGCAGTCCCACTCTGCCTATCAGGCCACCGTCAGTTCCCACTGCAGCATAGACGTGTACTCTAACTGAGGTCCAAGCTTCCTTGGCAGCCATGACAGCACCGTGAGGTTGATGCATAGGACTGAGAGTGGTTGTTTGGATGTTTGGGTTGCCGTGGAAGTAGGCTGAGAAGCCTGGCTATGCTGGTTGACCATGCTCCTAACACTGCATCTCAGCTGTGTTGCAAGTTGCTTAATATTCTGTGGAATGGAAGGATAGCCATGTTCCCCTCCTCGCCTCTCTGAGGTGAGTAACTGAACCCTACAGAACATGAGAGAGCTGCAAACTGTTGTCAGTCAGGTTAGGCTGGTCAGCATAGCCTTTGTTGCAGGCTTCACTGGGGAGAGTAGATAGATATTGTCGCTGGCAGGTTTCCCCTCTGCAGTTAAATAGCAGACCTAATGGCAACACACTCTCAAATCCAGACAGGGTTGACAAGAGGCGGCTTCAGATTTTGTGCAGATCACATCCTTTTAAACGGAGCCATGTGAACATAACAAAGTTTGGCAGTGGTCAGTTGTACAAGAATGATCTAATCTTCAGCTATTGAAAATTAAGCAGTGTAGACCAGCATTCGGTATCATCCCTCAGCAAGACTCTGGAAGTGGGGCCGGCAGAATAATGACTACTCTCTACTTACAGTGCCTCGCTGGCTCAGCATCTGATAAATGGCAGTGATAAGCAGGCCGCAGACATGCTGGGCCCACAGGGTTCCTAGTTACAAAGGCCGCCGTCTCCTTAGCCCCTTTGTGTGCCTGCACATGTGCGGTATGAGCGCTTCCCATCCCCTGGACCTGGCATTGCTCTCATCCATGCGTCTTGGCATTTCCTCATAGTTTCGATGTTCTTTGTTTCAAAACCATGCAGCTGAGCGGGTGAATGCAGTTCTCGGGGCCATGCGTGCAGCCTTGTGTGTCACGCCATTAGTGGTAACTGTCCTCTCTCTCTTTCTTTCTCTCTTTAATGAAAAAAAACATTCCACAGAGGGAAGCTGCTCACCCACCAGATGTCTCCATCTCCAAAACTGCCTTGTACTCCCGCATCGGGCCCACCGAGGTAGAGAAACCCCCGGGCCTTCTGTTCCAGCAGCCAGACCTGGACTCTGCACTCCAAGTAGCCAGAGCAGAGGTATGAGACCTGTGGTGTCTGGAAGGGCCATGTTCTTGACACCCAGATAGGATCTGAGTCTGCAGTGTCAGTAACTATATTTCCCTGTGAAGCTGGAGACAGACTGTCCTCCAAACACTGTGGGCTAGATGATTGGGCTAGATGAGCGACACCCCATGAGTTCTAACCTGCCCAGTCACCATGCTAACAGGCATGGCCAACTTGCTATAGAAGAGACACTTTGTCATAGTTGCTCCCCAGGGGGCGTCAGCAGAGTCTTGATTCTCTCCTGCTTGGGGAAATTCTCTGGATGAAATCTTGCTTTTATGTGAGAAGTTTTCATCTCGTGTGTCTATGATGCATCCTGACTTTGGTCAGAACAGAATGCACTCATGTGGGAATCTACCTTTCTTCTCTCCCTGACCTTAGGTCATCGCCAAGGAAAGAGAAGTCTCAGAGTGGAGGGATAAATACGAAGAAAGCCGGCGGGAAGTGGTGGAAATGAGGTCAGTAGGCCGGAGCCTTCCTGCTGCTTAGCCCCGCTCTTTGGCTCCCTGGTGGTTGTGCTGAGGTGCCCCCACCTCGAGTAGTGCCTTCTATAGACGAAGCTCACTTTTCTCTTATTATGCACAGCTAGTATTTTTGCATAGGTGTTTTTTAAGAGATTTTCTTTTTTTAATTTTTAAAATATTTTCATTGTTCTTAATGATGTGTGTCTGCATGCACATGAATGCAGGTGCCCTTGGAAGCTAGAGAGAGACAGCTGAGCCCCTCAGAGCTGGAACGTGGTTGAGAACCACCCAACATGGGGTCTGGGTCTTCTGAACCCCTCAGAGCTGGAGCGTGGTTGAGAACCACCCAACATGGGGTCTGGGTCTTCTGGAACAACACAGGTTCTAGCTACTGAGGTGTCTCTTCATCTCCTTCAAGTGTTTTTAGAATAACACGATGCATGAGTTAAAGAATCTACACGTGTCCTGTGTCCCCCACCTCCACCCCACCCCCTTCCCTTAACTTCAGCAGGCTTGCATTCCTGTGTACATTTCTAGTAGGTAACAAAACACCTAGCTGATGATTACGGCCTGTTTCCTAGGCCACCAGCACATCTTCCCAAAAGCACTGTTCTAGCTCTTCCCACTCCTTTCTACAATCCTGGTGACTGGATTGAATGGGCAGAGTCCCTGCATCTTCAGAGGACTGCTCTTGCAGAGGGATGCTTTTTTTTTTTTTGTTATTTTCATCTGGGGGAATTGCCAAGCAATGTTGATACACACCTTTATTCCCAGCACTTGGGAGGCAGAGACAAGCAGATCTCTGTGAGTTTGGGGCTAGCCTGGTCTATATAAGGAGTTATAGGTCAGTCAAAGTTACATAGTGAGACCCTGTCTCACAAACCTACTTGCAAAAAATAATATATATATTTAGTTTAAAAATACAAGGGAAGGAGCTGGAGAGGTGGCTCAGTGCTTAAAAGCACTGGCTGCTCTCCCAAAGGACCTGGGTTCAATTGCCAGCACCGATATGGGAGCTCACCACTGTCTGTAACTCCAATTCCAAGGGACCCAAAACCTTCACACAAATATATATATATATGCAGGCAAAGCACCAATGTACATAAAATAAAAATAATGAATCATTAAAAATGCAAGGGGATAAGAAGTAGCTTTGGACGTTGAGGAACATCTCCCTCAGAGGAGACTAGCAGCTCATGTTTTCGGAGGCTTTGGAAGAAGATACAGAGAGAATGTTAGGGAACTCCAAGAGCAATCAAAAAAGGCTTCCTGGAGAAGAAAACGTTTGAAGTAGACCTGGAGAAACAGATTCTGGGTGGTATAACTAGGAGGAGGGGGCTGGAGAGATGGCTTAGTGGTTAAGAGCACTGACTGTTCTTCCAGAGGTCCTGAGTTCAATTCTCAGGAACCACATGGTGGCTCACAACCACCTATAATGGAGTCTGATGCCCCTTCTTCTGGTGTGTCTGAAGACAGCAACAGTGTACTCATATACATAAAAAAATAAATAAATAATTCTTTTAAAAAGAATTATTTCCTAAAAGAAATAGGAGGAAGTAAGCAAGCACCCTGGGCTACACTTGGAATGAGAGAGCCAAGATCAGGGAGGAAATTGTCTGTGCACATTGAGCCAACCGTGTCCATGAGCCGGCTAGAAAGTGTTGAGCTTGTGAGAGGGATGAGGTGTGGGTGAAGCCCTTAAGGGAAGCTCTGGCCTGTTGATTCACATAGTGGACAGTGGGCTGATGCATGCTTAGAACAGTGCTGGACTGAGGGCTCTATGCCAGGAGAAGGAACCTGCCAATGAGTTCAGGGATGGGTACAGAGGATGTGAGCCCAACACTGGCCAGCCGGATCTGTGCTGTTGCTCGTTGGTTCCACTGCCCTGCTGTGGGGCGGAGATTTAACACTATCCTGTTACTCTAGCTGAGTGTGCCTTTGCCTTTCTTCCAGGAAAATCGTGGCTGAATATGAGAAGACCATCGCGCAGATGATCGGTGGGTGTCACGACTCGAGTGCTCAGGCCCAAACTGTGGGGAGGGGGAAGGAGAACGGGAGTGGGTTGAGCAGCAAGGCTCAGAGCCAGTTCCTCTCAGAGCAGTGGGTTGACAGGGACCAGCACAGCTGTACTTGTGGATACCCTGAGGATAGCCAGGAGAATGTACTTCACAATTACCTGGTGTTTCCACACTCCTCATTTACCCAGCCAGGTGATCCACCATGTTGGGAAGGAGTCTGAGTTTGGCCATTAGGTTGTGTGAGAGCTTTGGATTTTGCTTGCAGGAAGCATAGAATTAAAACCTCTAAACCCCAGTTTAGTTTAGAGTCAATGATGAAATACTCATACTGCCTTAACACATGGATTTAGGACCAGGATGGAACCTGTGGCAACTCTCTACCCAATACCCTTCCTCTTGTGGCTGGCAGACCCTGGTAGCCAATGCCAGCTATCCCTAAGATGTGACACCTCCATCAGAACACTGCATCCATGACAGCCAGAGCTGACAGGTTGCTTAGGCCTGAAATGAAAGAAGGCCCTATATTAGCAAATGACACACAATGACCGACCTTCCTTTTTTCCTTCCTTCCTTCCTTCCTTCCTTCCTTCCTTCCTTCCTTCCTTCCTCCCTTCCTCCCTTCCTTCTTCCTTCCCTCTCTCCCTTCATCCCTCCCTCCCTTCCTTCCTTCTTCTCTCCTTCCCTCCCTCCCTCTCTCCCTTCCTTCGTCTTTGCTTCCTTCCTTCCTCCTTCCCTCCCTCCCTTCCTCTCTTCCTCCCTTCCTCCTGTTACTATCCATCTCTCCATCTGTCTCTCCCCATCCTCCTTCTCTATAATGAGAAACAGTCTTGGAGATATTCCAAGACCAGATTTTTATAGTCTTGGGGAATTGATCTTCATGTTGATTTATGTCTTGCTGTCTGTTTATTTACTTAAGTTCATGATAACCAGTTTTTAAAATAATTTTTCCCACCTAAGGATTTGTGGGGTAACCATATAAGTTTACATGCTGAGCCTGGATCTGCACAAGCCTAGGAGAGCCCTGTAGCAGATGTTTGGCTTTTTGAGTCCCACCCGTCTGTAGCTTACCCCAAGATAAATAGCTCAGGAGCCTTTGCAGTAGCAGGAGGGCCAATGGTTGAATGGCTGGCCCTCTCAGGAGTGTTAATTGTGGCTTACATTACTGAGGACTGGTTTACCTCAAGCTCCTGAGGTACGTTTAGCCACATTGGTCCCTCGGAAGATGCATCACATTGGAACAAAATGCACAAGTTTATGGATGAGATAAAAACTTTAACACTCTGGGAATTCTAGGAGCTGGCAAAGAACTGGAGAGGAAAAACGCTTCTCTCAGTGTGAAAGGGTTGCCTCCTGGTGTCTTGGGATATGACACTGGCAGATGCTGGTGTGGTGTCTAGGGAGAAAGGCCTGAGGGAAGGCTGCCACAGCTAGCTTGTAGCATACAGCTAGAGACATTCAGTGAAGCAAGAGTTCCCCTTAGTGGGCTCTAAGCATGAGACCCTCTCTGGCTGACGTCTCAGGAGAGCCTTGCCATTATGGTGATACAGAAGGTGCTAGGTGCCGATTCCTGCTTCTGAGATAAATTGCAGCTGACAGCAGTTGGAACATTTTAACCTTGGTCAGTCAAGAGGAGTAGGTATCAGAGGCATGGTGCATTTCCTACCAGACTCTGAACAGTTTTCTGTGCACAAGAGAACCCCCAGGATGGCTCAGTGAGACTACTACAACATCCCCAGCTGAGCGGATCATCACTTGGATAACATCCCTACTGTGTGTATAGTCACGAGCCTTACTCACCAGCCTCTTCCTCATCTGCTTTTACAAAGTTTTTCTAACCCAGAAAAAAATTATATGTCAGTTGCTATGGAGGCTCACTGAATGAGGCCACTAGACAGACAGACAGACAGTTCAGGGTCCGTGTAGACAATCTGTGACATGACTGGGAAGGTGGCTGGACCTGCCCGCCTCAGAGGAAAGTGAGTCTCTTCACATACAGAGACAAGCCAATGGGCCTCATCTGGATTCCACATTTCCATCCCGGTTTCATTCCACCTGACTATCAAGGAGAAGCCAGGCCTGAGAGCCTGGCAGCTTAGGACCAGAGCGAATGTTTTGAGGTAGAGCCTGGTTCCTCTGACCCATGCTAGCTCTTCCTCTGATGTAGCTTTCAGGTACACTACACCTCATCATCCCTTCTCAGCAGCTCCTCAGAAGAAAGTGTGTCCTATTAAAGCTCAGTAGCTGGCGCCTTGGAATGTAGGACAGGAAGGGACCCCTGTGCTTTCTGCATTCCAGATTGTTGCGATTTTTTTTGTTTGTTTGTTTCCGCTTTTCTAACAACTACCCTGATTCTCTGTTTTGCTTCCGTTTTCTGTTGCTCCTTGCCTTTGCTTGCAAAACAAACAGGCAAGCCTGGTAAGTAACCGCTCCCCACCCCCACCCTATCTGACACCTACCCATCGCAACCCCTTGCTTGTGTTTTGTTTTTCTGGCTTGGTTATTTTTGCTTTTGTGTACTTGCTGCATTAACCCCTCTGATTTAATAGTGATTTGCCAGAAACCCCATCAGGGTTGTGAGTCCAGCGTGTCGTGTCTGGGGGCTGAGGCTGATTTCCTGACTTTAAGAGCCTAACTTTGTTGGTCAGGAGTTAGAAGATTTGTGCAGGCTTGCCATTGCCTGGCTCTCCTGGGAACCGGGCAGTTCTATTTTTAAAAGTGACAAGAGGAAAGCTCGGGCTAGGCGACATCTTAGATGCAGGAAATCAGACGGACTCTGTTTGATAAATGGCTCCTTCAGCCTGTCTAGTGAAATGTATACGTGACCACAGATCAGCCCAGAATGTACATTGTACAGCATGCTGGGAACAAAGGAAATGGCTAAAGTTTGGTCAGTAACATCTAGTGGAACTTGCCAATGCCCTCTCTTTTAGGAGTGTAGGTATAGCAAGTAGATTACTTGTATTAAAAAGTTCTCCGTATTTAAAAGGCAGAGTTTCATGAGTCATTGAGGGGCTGTCCCACTGAGTCGGGTGACATAAAGAGCTTCTGTGGCCAGTGATGCTGTTGATAACAGGTCAGATTCCAGGCTGTCCCTGGGTGCCAAAAGCTTTGTATTCATTCTCTTTCTTTAATCTCCCCAAATGCTATGGTCTAGAAGCACTGCCGTCCCCTGGTTCTGGTGAGGAGACACAGTGAGTTTAAGAACACTGCCCAAGGTCACACGCCACACAAGTATCAGAGTTGTGATTCCAAGCTGGCGTGTCAGACTCCAGAGCCACTGCCCTTGGTGGCTTCTGGCTACTGCTAAGAATACTAAGAACCCTGGGATCATAGAAGCAGGAGGGAAGGATATTAGGCATCTCCTTAGGCCGGTGGTTTTCCAGGCTGGGCCCTGGGTCAGCTATATCTGAATCTCCAGGGAGCTTGTTACTTGTGTAGAGTCCCCATCCTGACCTGCTGAGTCAAAAAGTAGGAGGAACCCACGTCTGTCTGAGGAACCATCCAGCGGGTTCTAATGCATGCTCACATCTGACAGCTGCCTTGATTTGCACACAAGGCCTTGGAACCACAAGATTTTGGGGCTTTTCCACATGTCTCTGTCAGGCTTGGAGTAAAATTCAGGCTGTGACCCCCACTGTGCCACATAGCAATAATATACTGAACTTTAGACACAGCGAGAGAGTGGCCTATCAGAAAACGGGAGGAAGAACAACTCAAATCAAAATCTCTCAGTGTTCCCAGTAGGAACTGTCCATCATAGAGGGAGGCTCGGGAAGAATTTGGTCATGGCTGTGCTTTTGTCTTTGGGGCTGAGCCTGGGCTGTGCTGTTCCCTCAGTGAACAAATGACTTCACTGTTCAAACCCTCTTTCACCTTCTGTAAGAGGGGGACAGGAAAACTTTGTATGGGTCACTGTGGGGCCGCCCTTGTTCATGCAGCTCATGGATCACATGGCAGGACCACTTGTATGGAGGGGGTTTGTGTGCCCAGGGCAGAGCAGCGAACCAGACCAACCCACAGCCAGCCCTAGAGGAGAGCAGCCTGGTTACTATTGTCATTGCTTTCCCCAAACACCTGACAGACTCAACCAAAGGGAAGAGTTTGATGTTTGCCTAGCAGTTTCAGAACAATTCGTCCACCATGGTGGTGAGGGCATGCAGTGCATAGTTTGACTGGCAAGAAGCAGAGAAAAGAGATACAGGAAGAAGCTAAGGCAAAGTCAGCCCTGAAGGGCTTGGCCCCAGTGACCTACTTCTTCCAGCCAACTCCAGCCGCCTCTCTGCCACCTCTCAGTAACACCATCATGATATGAATGAGTTTACAAGGTCACAGTCCTCGTGACCTAACTGTCCTGAAGATGCCCTCACAGGCACACCCAACATACACTGTCCTACACATTTCGCAGTCTGATGGCAGTGACTGGCAGAACACCATCATAGGAAGAGCATGGCAGCAGGAGGCCTGCGTCCCAAACCTGGGGTTGGGAGAGTTGGAGTATAGCAGAACCAGAATCCACAAGTGGACACACACACACACACAGAGCAAGTGATGGGGAATCAGAGATACAAAACATGGGGGTTTCTGAGGATTTCTGAGCGCTGGGGCAGGGGCTGTCAGGGCTGGAGCAAGTGTGTGGCACGCAGCCTGGGTTTTAGTCTCAATACAAGAGGAGGTCTCGAAGGCAGAGTGAGCAGAGATTTACTTTGCAGTTGAGGCTTGGTGGCTGCCATTGCTGTCTCTGTTGTTAGACGTTCCACATGTGATTTCTGTCATAGTAACCAGCTCTAAGCCATCCTGGGCAATAGATGGCACCCTCCCATGTGACCTGGGAGTGACAAAGATCTGCTGGGCTACATACTTTCCCCAGGAACTCTTGGTCCTGGGAATAGGAGCTAGGAGATGTCATTTAATCCACTGTCACCAAGACTAGGGTCCCTTGCCTACTCTATTGGCAACCAGCCTAGAGGGTGGTGCACGAGGCGGGGAGGGGGTGTCTGTATTTGTATCAGAGACAGTTGGTTCCATAGTGCAGAGACATCTGAGTTCAGTGTGGGATGGAACAGGTCAAAGACATGGGTGGGAGTATAGTTATCACTCTGGCTAGTACCCACATTCTAAACTAGGCCCAAATGGAACTGCATTGCCTTACTGAGAAATGAACTTTGCAGTATGCCTAGAGTGTGGTACTTTCTACAACCAAGAAATCAGTGTTGTGAACAGAATCTCAGGGATGTTTTAGGGATAAAGAAACCTCTTTCTCCTAGTGACTAGTCTTATCTTGATACCATTTCAGAAGAGTCACCCATCACCCCAAGGGCCCTGACTACAGCACCCTTTAATCTCATTGTCCCAGAAATAACAGTAGTAATTTTTTCTTTCTAACCCAGTGTGGATCTGCTTTGAGAAAGAAATGTAGACGCACAGGGTCTTCAGTGTAGATGTGTAAGGGTTGCATTGATCAGGTTAAAGGTTGACTTCTCTCCAACATGACATGTCATGGTCCCAGATCTATGGTGTCAGGTCCATGAGTGTTGTCCCTTTGGAACCATCCGGGAGGGAAGGCTCGTGGGTTCATTCCAAGGAAACCCTTGAGTTAATACTCAAGGCCTAGGCTGGCCCCTGTAGATCTAGTTTGGATTGATTGGGGTCCGTTGTCTGACTCCTGTCTCTCCTGTCAGAGGACGAACAGAGAGAGAAATCCATCTCCCACCAAACTGTGCAGCAGCTGGTCCTGGAGAAAGAGCAAGCCCTGGCTGACCTGAACTCTGTGGAAAAGTCTCTGGCTGACCTCTTCAGGAGATACGAGAAGATGAAGGAGGTCCTGGAAGGTTTTCGAAAGGTGTGTCTGTGGAGCAGGAGTCCAGGTGGGGGCTGGAGAGGCAGCAGCCGTTTTTGAGGCAGGGTCTGGGAGTGGGGTGCCAGATGTGGGGCAAGAGTTCAGGAAGTCCGTCTTGAGCCGTTGTGAGCAGGAGCTAAGGGGTCAGTTGTCTGTTCTGGATGCTCTGTTGAGCCTCTCAGCGTTTCTTTTTATGGTCCTGGCATGGCAGAATGAAGAGGTGCTGAAGAAATGTGCTCAGGAGTACCTGTCCCGAGTGAAGAAAGAGGAACAGAGGTACCAGGCCCTGAAGGTGCACGCAGAAGAGAAACTGGACAGGTAATTCACCACTCAGCTGAGCCAGGAACTCTAGTGGCTCTTGGACGTTGGCTTGCAAAGGGTGGGTGATCTTTATGACTTGGGCTAAGATGGCACTCAACCACTATAGTATAATGCCGGGCTTGGGGCATCCAAAGCCCTTCCATGTCACAGCAGTAGTGGGGTTCTTACAGTTCCTATGTTCAGGCTCTAGTTGAGCTGCATCCAGACCCAGAGATGGGAAGAGGAAGGTATCCCTACAGCCAGTGACCATGCTCCTTGTTCCAACAGAGCCAATGCAGAGATTGCCCAAGTTCGAGGCAAGGCCCAGCAGGAGCAAGCAGCCTACCAGGCTAGCCTGAGGAAGGAGCAGCTTCGAGTGGACGCTCTAGAAAGAACGCTGGAGCAGAAGGTAAGAGTGTGAGGCTTGGGCACCCATGGCTGTGAGTCCTCTCTCTGGCTGACAATGGAGGCTGGTGGGCTGGAAGGGGGTCTCTGGAGCAAGGCTTCTGTATGAGCTCATGCCTGGAGACCGTACCTACATTAGATCTGGTTTTGTCTTTTTGTTTTCTCCTCTCTGCTTATCCTACAATAGATGCCTGCACAGTGATTTTCTACTTTTCATTCCTCCACAACATCATTTGTCAGATATTTGTTAAGCACTACTGTGTTAGTTAGGGTTTTACTGCTGTGAACAGACATCATGACCAAGGCAACTCTTAAAAGGACAACATTTAATTGGGGCTGGCTTACAGGTTCAGAGGTTCAGTCCATTATCAAGGCAGGAACATGGCAGCATCCAGGCAGGCATGGTGCAGGAGGAGCTGAGAGTTCTACATCTTCATCTGAAGGCTGCTAGCAGAACACTGGCTTCCAGGCAGCTAGGGTGAGGGTCTTAAAGCCCACAGCCACTCCAACAAGGCCACACCTACTCCAACAAGGCCACATCCACTCCAACAGGACCACACCTTCTAATCGTGCCACTCCCTTGGCCGAGCATATACAAACCATCACAACTAAGGTCCCAGACATTGTCCTTGAACCTTTCCAACTCTCATTCTTACTGGAGAATGGGTGGGGAACCCACCAGTCCTCTGACAGAAGGGAGGCTGTGGCAGAGCCGGGCACATATAGATATCCTCCAGGTGTATGACCAGTGGGTGAAGCTCCTGAGGTCACTCAGTCTGTTCCTAGGTTTCCTGATTTCCAGTGTGCTGCTTACCCTACTACTTACCCACTGTGTCCCTGGATGTCCCAGTGAAGACCTCTGCCATCCTAGAAACACTCCCATTCCATGTGGTCCCGAGGGCAGGGTGTCTAGGCTGAGTACCAGTCACCTTTGCCCTGGTGGGTGCTAGGTGCTGTCAGAGAAAGCCTGGCAATGAGTCAGGTCAGCCGCTCACACACTCCACCAATTGTATGGCCCTGGTGAGCCTCGCCCTCCATCTCGTTTCCTTGGTCCCCTTTAGCCTGAAATATTTTAGATAAGAGACGTTCCCTGATGTCAGGTATGATACTAACCCCACCCCACTTCCAAAAAAATGACCCTGAAAAAGCATATTTAGCCTTGTTCTCTGAGGATAAACAAAGGTAATGGCTGTGTTGTCCACAAAAACTGTTTTAGAAAGAGAAGGGCAAACCAATGCTATGTGCCAACCACTGTAGCTGCCAGTGATTTCTGGGCTCTGCTGATCGTTCAGAGCAGTCCCCATAGAGACAAGACACACAGCTGCAAAGCCAAACATTTGCTCATTCATTGATAATTACTGAGTACCGTTATGGGTTTGCTGTTGGGTCTATGTGTATTTTTATAGAAGTAGGATGGTCCATTAAAATAAAGACCATGTTCCCGAGTCAGTGTGTGTGTGGAGGGGGAAGTTGTCAATGCTCCCACGATATAGATTCCATCAGACTGTGTTTAAATCACCATATGGTGGTGTTTCCTGAAGCAGGAGCCAGGACATGTATCTCCAGGGTCCTTGGCCCAATCAGAACAGCAAATGAAGGTGATGCTGTATTTTCCAGTAGATTAAAGTACACGAATGCAAACAAGTTGTATCAAATCTTATCTGTGAAGGTAATTTCCTTTCTAACCAAGCTTCCAGAGGAATGAATTAATTGTGGTGTTCAGCCCTGGAGGACAGTAAATGATGTATAACAAACAAAGCCTGTCTTTTTTTTTTTTTTTAATTTATTTATTTATTTATTTATTTATTTTATGAGTACACTGTTGCTGTCTTCGGACACACCAGAATAGGGCATTCAATCTCATTACGGATGGTTGTGAGCCACCATGTGGTTGCTGGGATTTGAACTCATGACCTGTGGAAGAGCAGTCAGTGCTCTTAACCGCTGAGCCATCTCTCCAGCCCCAAACAAAGCCTGTCTTAAAGAGATTCAGAAATGCACTCACCAGGGCAGGTCCGTGTGACACTCTGGGCTCCACGATGGGGCTGGGGTTTGACTCTAGGGATGGACCCCCACTGGGTCTGTGGTGCTTCCACCGTGAGTCACTGCACATAAACTTTAACAGACATGAGGACGAAGCTGAGTAGTTGCAGGCACAACTGGAGCTTGTGTTCTAGGCCAGATACCTCTGTTCCTATTTGACAGGCTGTGTACTCTTACACATAACACTTAACTTCTCCGAGCCTCAGTTTCCTCACTAAATAATGGCTTCTTTTAAAGGGCTAGCATGAGAACTGAGGGAGGCCACGGCATCCTGGATGGCTTTAGCTTGGTGATTGGCATGTGGTATTCATAGCAAAATAAAGATTAGCATTCATGGCCAGCAGGGGGCAGTAGTGGTGTTGGGGATAACTACCACCACTAGTAGTAGTAGTGGTCAGAGATTTTAGCACCAATGTGAGCTGGAGCCTCAGAGTATGCTTCTGGGCAGGATGTGGGCCATGGTCAAGCTGCTGGGAGACAGTGCTTCCCCCTGTACCCCAATGACAGTGCAGTTTTCTCTTCTGGGTGGGTACTGTGGTGTAGAATGCTGGAGTCCTAACCCAGGGACAGCCATGGACTGAGCTGAGACATAATGCAGGAGGTTCCAGGAAAGGAACTGATGGAGGCCAACTTTCCTCAGCATCCCCAGTTATCCATGCTGCATGTGTGTAGCTGCCTTTAATTGGGTTTCAGGGATAGGCAAAGAGTGGCTTCTGCATGAGAGGAACCCCCTGAAGTTACCTGCCTCTGCCTTGCCTTCTGCACCTACATTTACAGTGCCACCTACTGGGCATCTTCTAAACAATGTTAGCATTTCTCTAAACCCTTCTGAGCCATTGTCAGGAAAGCCATGTAAGAGCCATGGAGGCCCTTAGCCCAGGGACAAAAGCTATCCTAGCTAGCCCTCCACTGTGCTCTGCTCACTGTGTTTTTACATTTACAGGACTTCGCTTTCTTACCTTATTTCATTCTCACCTACATTTTAAAGATAAGGAGTCCAAGGTTCAGAATAGCTGTGCAACTTGTCCACACTCACCCAGCCATAGCTGGAATATAAACTCAGTTTGTTTCCAGCTATTTCCTCTAATTACTGTAGATAACTTTAGGAAATACCAAGAGACTGGGGGGACAGGGACTCCCCTATGAGGAGGCCAGTGTTGCTACTGATTAAGTAATAGTAGTTGTAGCTGTTGTTGTTGAGGCAGGGTCTCACTATGGCACTGGTGGCCTGGAACTCACTATGTAGATCAGGCTAGCCTCAAACTGCAGCCTGCCTCTGTTTGGCAAGTGCTGAGATTAAAGGCATGCGCCACCACACCTAGCTTTCTTTTCTTTCTTTCTTTTTTTTTTTTTTTTGTTTCTCTTTCACTTTTTTGGTGTGTGAATTATATTTTCGTTGCTTGCACAGATATTATTTTAGGGCTGACCACTATGTTTTGAGTAACCAGTTAGGGGCCTCATCCTGGGAAGAAGCTGATTCTTCTCCTAGCAGTCGTTAGTTTCCTATAGGTGTTTGTCTAGGGGTGGGCTGGCCCATTGAGATTTCCCCTTTTATGTTAAGATGTCTAACTGATACTGTCATTGTTTGAGTCTTGTTTTAGTCAATCATATTGTTGAGGTAGCAAGGGTGTAGCTCCCCTGTCATTTTTAGGAGACACAGCTATGTGACAGACTTCCTGGCCCTCTGACTCTGGGAATCTTCCACCCTCTCTTCTTCGATGTTCCCTTAAAATTAGGTTGCAGGAATTGTGATAGATATATTGTTAAGGCGGGACTTCTCACAGTTTCTGTATTATGACCAGTTATGGTCTTCTGCAATGATCTCCCTTTATCACAAAGAGAAGCTTCCTGGGCGAGAGCTACATTTACCATTATAGGGGTACGTTTTAAAAGGCAGTGAGGAATTGTGCCGATTTAATAAAGTGTCAGTGGTAGGGTCTTTCTAAGGTCCATGCCTCACTAGTCCTGGGTAGTTTTGAGGTTTCTGGTGCCAAGCATGATTTCCTCCTACGGAACAGATAGAGAACTATTGGTTGCCATCAAGATATGAGTGCCACTACTGCACCTTTAGGGACATTGTGTTAATCCGGTCATTGTGATCATGGGTGTCGCCGATGGATAGGATGGATAGAACCGTGGATTGCTTCCCTCCCTTGGTGGCTTGCATAGCACTTTTTCTTTTCTCTTTTATTCTCTCATATAGTACATCCGGCCTAGAGTTCCTACCCTCCATAGGGTAGGAACTTTCTGGTGCTATGGAAGCTCGACCAGCAGATCACAGACTTGCAGTTAGATCACCTCAAGTCCCCCCGACACCTGTGTCCAAAATCAGTGGTGTCTTTAGCAACGGGGGCTTACCTTCAACCTGTGAGAGACGTCTGTACCCTGCTACTCCCCTCTAGCCCCTCCCTCATGGTCCCTTTATACTTGACCAGTTTCTTTGGTTACTTTTGAGACAGGGTCAGTCACTGGCCTAGAACTTGATAAGCAGGCTAGGCTGGCCAAGAATCCCCCTCTGTCTGCCTCCCCCTGTACTGGGCTTGCAGGTGTGTACTACCATATCTGGCTTGTTTTTTTTTTTTTTTTTAAAAAAAAAAAAAAATGGATTCTGGGGATTGATTTCAGATCCTCCAGCTTGCAACACAAGGGCTTTGCTGACTGAGTCATTGTCCCAGCCCTCTGACTGGCTCAATTTCAAACACCAAGAGCACCTCTCTTGTCTTTCATTTTCAGAATAAAGAGATAGAAGAACTCACCAAGATTTGTGACGAACTGATTGCCAAGATGGGGAAAAGCTAACTCTGGACCAAGCACTTGGACTTGGCCGCTGCGTGCAATACGACCCTCCGTCGGCACACTGTTCGTCCTTCCGACTCTGTGGACAGGTTCTCCTTTCACTTCCGTATGCACTACTGTGTCCTCTTTCTAAACAAGGTTGGTTTGACCGTATGCAGTGCCGAGACCTACCAGGATTCCTTGCTATCTGTTTGCATTTTCTAGTATAATTCATAGCAAGTTGACCTCGGAGTTCCTGTATCAGGGAGATTATCAGATTCTCTAATAGAATACACATTGCTGACCTTGGCTTTGCCCTTTGGTGAGCGGCATCTGATGTGACGTGAACACATGCAGCCTGCATCGGGACTCTTGCCTTAAGGAGTGTACAATTGATCCACATTTGCTGGTTTGATTTTTTTAAAAAAGGAATGCATGTTTCAAATAAAATTCTCTATTGTAAATAAATTTTTTTCTTTGGGTCTTGACAGCGAGTGTGGCTGTGAGTTATTTTCTGGGAATGGCTGAGTCCTTTCCTTTGTTAAATCATATCAGGTTTGGTCTCTGCCTCTTTGGGCTCTTTTCTTTGTTTATTGATTTAAATTGCATTTCCTTCATTATCGTGTCTGGGTTTGTAAGAGGGAGCAAATGAGAAATATTGATTGGGGCTTAAATAAGTAAGTGGATATATTGGATTAGCTTAGATTTCATTTTTACAAAGTCTTGGTCATTAGAAGGCAAAAAAAAAATCTGTTTCCTTTTATAATTGTGCAAAGGAAATGGCAAGCTGTCAGTATTTCTGTCCCGCCCCCTTGGAACCTGACCAACCCTGAAACACTGACTATTCCTTTATAAGTGGCTAGGAAAGGCCCAGGAACACCTGGCGGGAGGCAGGCAATTAGTCACCAAGCTTCCTGATGCTCTGACCTGCACATGTGACCTGTGACCTGTGAGGGAATGTAGGGTAAAGGATGAGATGGAGGGATGAGGGAGTAGAAGGTAGCCTGGTTTTCTGGGGCTTTGGTCACAAATCCCCACAGACATATCAGCTGATAGCTTCCAGAAATTCAAAGTCAGAGCGCCCAGTAAGGTTTGGGCACTCAGAGAGAATCCATTTGGTCCCCCTCTCCCAGCTTGCTGTATCCTCTGTAACATTCAGCCTCAGCTCACACAACCTTCTCAGCCTTTTGTGTGTCTGTCTCAAACACCCCTTCATAATAGATGCTCTCACCCCAGCTGAGCTATATCTCCAGGCCTCTTTATTTAGTATGTAGTAGATGCTGTCACCCTGGCTGAGCTGTATCTCCAGGTGTCTTTTTATTTTCTTATTTTGAGACAAGGTTGCTCAAATGGGCCTTGAACTCATTCTGTAGCCCTGACAACCCTTGAATTCCTGTCTCAAGAAGCTGGCTCTACAGGTCTGTGCCACCACATCCAGTCCTTCTCTTTATAAGAATACCATCACTGGGCTTAGAGCCTACCGAAAATCCACGGAGATCTCGGATATCTTGAGATCCACATCTGCATCCCGCAAAGGCCGTTTCCGGTTACAGCCGTGTTCATGGGGAGCAAGGATGAAGAAGTATGGATGTATTTAGTTTATCTTATTACGTCATGTATTTATGTATGAGTGAGGTCAGAGGACAACTTTTGAATGCACATTAGGATGGTGCACATGTGGGTCCTGGGAATCAAACACCAGGTAGGTCACCAGGCGTGGCTTTGAGAGCCGTTACCCACTGACACATATGCGCCGGCAGAATAGGTGTTGTGTCTGAGTGTGGAAAGCAGACCTGAGCTCCCGGGTCTCAGTTGAAGTCCCCCTCTATGCCCCAGGCACAGCATTAGCCACACCTATCAGGGCAGGTTTTAGGCAGCCTTGTCTGGGAGAGAGGATGGGCTGGAAGTCTCAACTGTGACTTAAAAGGTAGATGAAACTGGGCCATCTGGTCAGGACAAAAGGACAAAGGGAGATAGACGAACTCTTGAACTCTTGTGAGGCCATTGGTTCAGTGGCAATGGGCTACATCATAGGGTCTCTTGAGAGTTTTTACTTCATTTCCTCTGTATCTGGGCTCCATTGGTGGGGCTCTGGCCCCATTGCTGTCCTCACTTGACAGACTCCCTTCACCTGTCCAGTACCCACTGCCTGATCCATCCAGCACCCGTGACCCTAGAGTCCTCGCTCACCCTGGCCATATACCTCTCTAGGATTCTCCCTTCTGCTTTCTCTTATTTTTACCTAAATTTAAGAAGAAAATTTTCATTTCTTTTTTTTTTTTTTTTTTTTGGTTTTTCAAGACAGGATTTCTCTGTGTAGCCCTGGCTGTCCTGGAACTCACTCTGTAGACCAGGCTGGCCTTGAACTCAGAAATCCGCCTGCCTCTGCCTCCCAAGTGCTGGGACTAAAGGCGTGCGCCACCACTGTCCGGCTTAGAGTTTTTAACGTATGTCTTTTTCTTAGCATATGAAATATTTACCTAATTTTTTCACTGTGCTACTTTTAAAATACTTACCTGTTTGTTTGTGTGTCTGTCTACCAGCCTCAGGTTCCCTTCTTTTAACTTTTTCCCCACCTAATACTGTAACGTGACCATCACAGAAACTCTTTTTCCTTAGGAAAATAATTAAAATATATATTTTTTTTAAAATGCCCAGCTGTCTAGAATATCATCAAAACAGTTGCCACCTGTACTTTGGGTGATTACAAGGTGTTCAAGTCTCGGAATTATTCCACAGAAGCCTCTTCAGAGATGGCTGACAAAGCCTGCTGCCAACTCCCATGGTGTTTCTGTCCCTACACCGGACAGCCAAGGTAGCGGCTGTTGCCTGAACTGTCAGGACAAAGGTCTGGAAAGACGCATTCAGTGGTGTGGAGTTCTGAATGAAGACTGTCCCACATAAGTTCAAGTATCCGAATACTTGTCCCCTGCTGTTTGTGGCACAGCATGGAGAGGTTACCAGAAGACGCCACCTTCCTGAAACAACTGTGTCACTGGAGATAAACCTTGAGTAAAAGCCTTGCCCCACTTTAGCCTCGCTCTCTGCTCTGTGATGGTGGTTAAAGATATGACCTCTCAGCACCCTGCTCCTGCCGTCATGCCTGCTGTTTGTGGCCATGCCTTCCCCCATGATGGACTCATCCCCCTGGAACAATGTTGGTACAAGGTGTTGAAGTCACAGAATGATTAGTCCGTAGAAGCTTCATCAGACAGAACTGTCTGGCAAAGCTGCAGTGCATGGACAAGAGCTGCTGGAGCTGAAGGACTCTCCTAAGATGCCTCTGGTCATGGTGTTTCGTCACAGCAACACAAAAGCCACTAATATAAGCAGTGTGCTCCTGACACCCTTACTTTATTTTTCCTCCAAAAGAGATAGAGAGTTCATATTTTACAGACAAGAAAAACCTTTCGCTGGAACCCACTTCCTCTTCTGCCCATTTGTCTTCTCCGTTGTCTCAGTTGGGCAGTCTCAGCTGCATCAGGCTTCGCTATGCTTGTGGGCCGCACATCCTTCTTGTGATCCTTTACTTCAGTATTCTTCTCTTCCCAAAGTAGCTTGTCACCTATGCAAGCTCGGTCCTCATCTCTCCGGGGGCCTTGGAGCTCACCAACTGAGAACATGGTGATCTTCGGAGTGATCCTCAGACCAGAGAAAAAGGTTGATTCTTGACCTGTCTTTTGTTTTCCCCACAAATGGGATTTGTGTTTATTCATCCAGAAGGCCCTTATTTTCTTTGCCACATCTTGTTTTGCCCTTTCAAGATTTGCTTATTTAATGTGTGAGTAGTACACTGTTGGGAGCCGACTCCTAGCCGAAAGCGGCTATCATCTTTGCAGCCATCTCAGGCCATAGACCCTGACAAGAGACTTGTTTTCAATAGCCCGAAACAGCTGAGCACACTCTGATAAATATCTTGTTTTTCTCACATATCTTGTTTTGCTGTTTAGTGCCACCAGCTGCAAGGCACACGTGATATCCACGCTGCTAGGTGCACGTGGTCTCCTCACTGCTAGCTAGGTGCACGTGGTATCCATGGCTACAAGGCACATGATGTAGTGCCTTCAGCTGTGCTTGTCCACGAGGGCAAGGCACGTGGTAAAGGGTATAAATACCCAGGATTTCCTTCCAATAAAGGAGACTTGATCAGACTCCCTGTCTTGTCTCCATTCTTCACGTCTCCGTCCCTACTCTCTCTCTTGCTAGGCCCTGACCCGCGGACCAGAGCAGCAGAACGGGCGGTTACAAAGTGGCGCCTCAACGTTGGAGCTCCAGTAAGTGGGGTACAGTGAAGGACACAGCAGGAATTGGAGGCGTGCATCCTCACTCCTGCGCTGGAGACCCTGCTGACTGACCCGAACAGGCAGCTACAGTACACTGTTGCTGTTTTCAGACACACCAAAAGAAGGCATCAGATCCCATTTGAGATGGTTGTGAGCCACTGTGTGGTTGCTAGAATTGAACTCAGGACCTCTGGAAGAGCAGCCAGGGCTCTTAACCACTGAGCCATCTCTCCAGCCCATTGTTTTGGTGTGTTGAGACAGGATTTCATAAAGCTCTCTCTAGCCTCTCACTCAAGTGACCTTGAACTCCTGACCTGTCTGTCTTAACCTGCTGGGATTATTAGGTGTGTGTTGTTTTCATGTTGGTGCCTGGTTTCCTTGTACTTTTTTTTTCTTTTTATTATACCTGTGCTGGTTTGTGTCTGTGTCCTGGACGCTATCTGCAGAGATCTTCGGAGCCAAAGAGCTGTACTCTCTGAAGGGGAGGGTGGGGCCAGATCAAGGCGAGCTGCTGGGGTCTCTTCTGAGAGTCAGAAGAGTGACCTCCAGAGTCAGTGCAGCATGGAAGGTTGGGGCCACTGAAAGGGAAGTGATTGTGGTGGGCTCGAGCAGCTTCTGCGACTAGAGCTTCAGGAGAGAATTCTCTTCCCCAAAGTGTTACAGCTCTATAAGACAGCGGCTCTCAGGTGGTCCTTGGTGAAATAACTTGTGTTTTATTCACTGTGGACAGGATCTTATAGACATTTTGGGGTGGGATGGGGTCTAAAAGCAGATACTTTCTATTGGCTTGGTCTGAGATGTCAGGGATGCCTCATCTACATGTAGAGGGGCTTCGGGCGCTGTCCTTATGTGACTGATTGGCACAGTCCTCTCCATGGGGTGTCATGGTCACATGTTCCAGGACAGAAAGTTGGTCCAGGGTAGATGAAACTCCTATCGTCCTCAGGTATGACAGTACCAGGGTTTCTGAATCTACTCAACCTTACCAAGTTTTTGTCTGGTGACATGGTTCCGCTTGCCCCACACGCCTGGACTGCTTTTCAGTCCTGCTTTGAAACTTTGAGAAGCTCATGGAAGCCACTTGCAGACAGAGTACAGTGGTCTGGTAGTTTAAATGAAAATGGCCCCGATAGGCCCACAGGGAATGGCACTATTAAGAGGTGTGGCCTTGTTGGAGTAGGTATGGCTTTATTGGAAAAAATGTG